GCATTATACCGTGAGTATTTAATTTCAGATCTAGGGTAACGCTATTCTAAGCGTGAGTGTAGAATGCCTTATTCTACACCCTTAGTAATGCTATATACAAAATCTAGTAAAACAATGTACAAAATGTAGTAATTCTGAAAATATATTTTTTACTATCCAAGTTTATAATTTACTACATTTTATGAAAAAATACTATATTTTATATACCGTGATATTATATTTTTGTATGTACCGTTACTAGGATGTAGAATAAGCTCTCTCTCTCTCTCTACACACACACATTTACTCCATACACCATTAGCATGGTTTGTGAGAGAAAACCAACCAGTTTGCAAATAGACCCCTCTACAAAAATAGTTAGTCCACGGGTGATCTAAGGAAGACTAGCATGGCAGCTACATGGCCGGATTTCCCCCTCATGGATCGGTTGGCCTTATTTAATCAAATGAATGAGTTTATGACCTTGATCGATTAATTTTTGAGTTGTTGGTCTAAAACGCTCAACCAGTTTGAATCAATCAACTAACGACACATTTCACTTCTGCTTTAGAATATGTATGCTTCTTTTGTGATACTATGCTTCGTTTGTGATGGAATATGTATAGGGTTTTTTATGAATACACAAAGATTACGTATCATTGCAGTGATTGGAGAGTAAAATTAATACAAGGGAGGGCTACGCAAGCCGGTGTGAGGGTGATGATCGGAGCAGAAGACAGGGGGTACTCAGCCCGAGATTATGTAAAGCCAAAACGATGGAGAACAACTTAGTGCCACACTAAGCAAAATTTGGGGCCTGGTGTCCACAAGTTGCACATGCTTCGGTAATTCACTGGGCCATGCAGGTGCAGAGGCACACACCTGCTTTGCTTAGGGCATGTACAATGGTCCTATCTTAGCAATGCCACATAGGATAAATGATGAGGTGGAGGAGAGAGAAATCATAAGGGATGGCTTGTGTTCTCTTAATTAAGAGAAGACAAGAGATGATCTCTTAGCACAATATGTCTCACCATGTTTTTAGGAATAACTTGTTATTGAAGATAAGGCTAAGAGATGACCCATTGTAGATATGTTTTTTTGTCATCTCTAAATTACATGCAAGATTTAAGATAAGACTACCTTATCGATCATTGTACATGCCCTTAGCTGTGCCGGCAGCGTGATTGCTTCACAGTCCGTAAACTCGTTTGGTTCCCTGCATGGTTTTAAGTTTTAGTTTTAAAAACTTCATGAATTTGTCGATCGTTGTATCATTCAGCAGTTGAAACTTGGTAAAGTTTTTAAAAATTTGTTAAAATGTATTCAAAAGTGGTTTATTTCAAGGTTCTCGTCATCAGAAACACGAATGTATATATGAAACTTTGGGTTTAACAAATATAACCAATTCAAAACTGAAGGTACAAAAAATATGGTGTCGGTGCCTCAAGTGGCCTCCCGCACATGCTTGCCATATATGCTGTCGGTTTGTAAATCGTGTCAGGTAGCAGCATAGTGTACTCTTGTGATTTGTACTGATCACCATCTCTATTCGATCGCAACCTGATTTCGAGACTGCTAGGCTATTTATAAATAGAAGAGAAAGCTCAAGGACCGATCACAGCATAGTACTCTATACCGAAAATAGAACAGAGCATGTGCACCCCGGCCCGCTTATCTGGTACGTCCATATCCCTCGGGATATGCGGCTTGGGTTAGTACTTCCCCCGACCGTGATCTGCCTACATCTCAGCTTAGACTACTGTTCAGCTACAGACAAGGACAAACAGGTTGGAGACACACCAGGAGCAGGCCCGTGACTCTGGTCCATACGTGTTCCCCCTTGTATCATTATTGAGCAGGCTAGGCGGCGGGGAAGGGTGATTCATGAGAGGCAGAGCATGGTACAAATCCAAACCTGAGCTGAAAAATATGCACAATACGATTTATATTCCAGTGACCCAAAACACGTATGTGCATCATGACGAGTTGAAAATACAATCATGTCTTATAGGCCATCGCTGTGAGCGTCTGGGCTGGGAACTTGCATCGCCCTGCGAGGGACCCGCAGAACGAGAGCTAAAGGAGTTGCTCCCAGTTCCTACGTTCTGGCCTTGCGTGTTGCCCCGCGGTCCGGGAGTCGAGCGACCAGGTGCCGACATGTCTAAAACTATGAAAATGTTGTGGTGGCTGGGTGCGATGCGATGCGTATGATGCACAAAATGCACTGTTCGACCGCATCTATTTATGGAGTTTGAGCCATGGTAGTGAAGACACAGGTGTTCATGGGTGTATGCATGCAATGATGGGTGGATTCTAAGGGGTTGTTCGGCAGTCAACTGCTCCCTGAAATTCAAAGATCTGCAGAGCACCTGTCCCCCCGCTCCGTACTTTTTACCTTCAGCTCCGCCAACTCCAGGAGCGAGAGCGTGGAGTCGGAGGGATGCCGAACAGGCCTTAAAGCTCTTTCTATTTTTACTGCTAGGTGGGAGGTGCCAGCTAACATGAATTGGAACGCGGAGGGGCGCTGTTTCTCTTGTGATGAGCATCGCGCTCAGGGCCGCACAAGCCAAACAAGGCGCGAAGCGCGATGTGGCAGCGAGGTCTGGCGTCACATGCCCAGCCACTTAGCACTTCTTTTTTCTTCAGAAACGTCAATACCAAAAATGACACGAATATGTGAAGCACCCGTTGTGGAATGTGTGAAAGAAACACAATTATTACTGTGCTAATACGACTCGCCTCCGGCATAAATACGTGATTGAGATTCGTATTACCTATAATATATAATCATTATCACGCAACCACGGACTGTTTTGAGGAGTGTCGTTTGCCAGTTTGTACCATTGTCGGACGCGAAACCAGCTAGCTTAGGGGCTGTTTGGTTGAAGACTTAAATTGCCACGCCTAAGGTGAGGTACTAGCCACACCTGTGTTCAAACAAATGTCAAGCGGACGCGGGGTCTGTGTTGAAATACGCAGGGGAATCTATACAGGCTAGGGACTTACGGGTGGTAGCGCGCAGAGGTGCCCTGCGATTTTCTGTGGTGGGATTGTGGGAGTGTGTAGGAAAAGTGCGTAGATAATGCACAGAGGATCCATCAACTGTGTAAGACGTGCTCTGTAGGGATAAAGATAAATTTTACTCCCGAGTAGTCGTTTTCGACAGAGAACGTGACAGACATCTGCCGGTAACACGCACGCTAAATCGGTATCCAGCCTCGGGCATCTCGAGGTAAAGCGCGAGGATTCGACCGATGTGATAACGGCCGCAGGTGCTCGAAAAATCCGCGTGCTTACATTTTGTAGCTCCTAGCGCTAGCTTCCGTTGCTAGTACGTGTTCCGGGGTGAGCAAATGGCGGCGGCGGCGAGACCAGCCTCGTCAACAACGGCGTCGGAGGCGGAAGCGAAGGACGCCGAGAACCTCCGTCTCATCGAGGAGATGACCTCCAACGTGGACTCCGTGCAAGAGCGAGTACTGGCCGAGATCCTCTCCCGGAACGCCGCCACGGAGTACCTCACGGACTGCGGCGGCCCCACCGACCGTGCCACCTTTCGGGCCAAGGTGCCGGTGGTGTCGTACGACGCTCTGAAGCCGTACATCCAGCGCATCGCCAACGGAGACAGGTCGCCCATCATGTCGACGTACCCCGTCTCCGACTTCCTCACCAGCTCCGGCACCTCCGGCGGCGAGCGCAAGCTGATTCCCAGCACCGCGGAGGAGGGCCGCCGACGCCAGCTTCCCTTCGGCCTCCTTAATGCAGTCATGAACTTGTAAGTCCACTGATATATACTAGCACTCATTTCCCTGGGCACAGCACAGAGTGATGGCAGCACTCATTTCCCTGAATGCGTAGGCACTTTCCTGGGCTTGACAAGGGGAAGGGGCTATACTTTCTCTTCGTCAAGTCGGAGACCAAGACGCCGGGCGGGCTGACGGCATGGCCGATGATGACCAGCATTTACAAGAGCGAGCAGTTCAAGGACCCCTTGCGCGACCACACCAGCCCGAGGGCGGCCGTGCTCTGCGCGGACACGTCCCAGAGCATGTACGCGCAGATGGTGTGCGGCCTGTGCCAGCGCCACGACGTGCTCCGCGTCGGCGCCGCCTTCGCCTCCGGCCTGCTGCGCGTCATCCGCTTCCTCCGGCTCAACTGGGAGCAGCTCGCCGCTGACATCGAGGCCGGCACGCTCGCCCCGTGCGTGGACGACGCGTCGGTGCGCGAGGCGGTCGCCGGCATCCTCCACCGCCCGGACCCCGAGCTCGCCCGCTTCGTCCGGGACGAGTGCTGCACGGGCGAATGGGCCGGCATCGTCCCGCGCATCTGGCCCAACACGAGGTACATCGACGCCATCGTCACCGGCGCCAGTACGTCCCGGCCCTGGAATACTACGGCGGCGGCCTGCCGTTGGTGTCCACCTCCTACGCGTCCTCCGAGTGCTACTTCGGCCTCAACCTTCAGCCGCTGTGCAACCCGGACGACGTCTCCTACACCATCATGCCCAACATGGCCTACTTCGAGTTCCTCCCCGTCGACGACGCCACCACAGGCGAGGTCGTGGCACCTGAAGGTGACGCGGCCCGGCTGGTGGACCTCGCCCGCGTGGAGGCTGGGCGGGAGTACGAGCTCGTGATCACCACCTACGCCGGGCTCAACCGGTACCGCGTCGGCGACGTGCTCCGCGTGGCCGGTTACCACAACGCCGCTCCACGGTTCACGTTCGTGCGCCGCAAGAACGTGCTGCTCTCCGTCGAATCCGACAAGACCGACGAGGTCGAGCTGCAGCGCGCCGTGGAGCGGGCATCGGAGCTGCTCCGGCGGCATGGCGCGTCCGTGGCGGAATACACCAGCCACGCATGCACCAAGCGCATCCCAGGGCACTACGTCATCTACTGGGAGCTGCTGACCACCGGCGGCGAGGCCGTGGGCAAGGAGACCCTTGACACGTGCTGCCTGCAGATGGAGGAGGCCCTGAACGCGGTCTACAGGCAGAGCCGGGTGGCCGATGGGTCGGTCGGGCCGCTCGAGATCCGGGTCGTCCGGCCCGGCACCTTCGAGGAGCTCATGGACGACGCCATCTCTCGCGGCGCGTCCATCAACCAGTACAAGGTGCCACGCTGCGTCGCGCTCCTGCCCGTCATTGAGCTGCTCGACTCGTGCGTCGTGTCCGCCCACTTTAGCCCTAGCTTGCCACACTGGACCCCAGCGCGGCGCCATGACTAGAAAGAATTGAAGCAGCTCATCGGGTCACGCTCGCCAATCTTTGGGATGATTGATTTCGTTTGGATACGAGAGGTGCTTCCGCTGGCCTTGGGCCTAGGCACCATTTGTTGGTCAATAAGCCGTGACGAGCCCGGGACGCGGTGCGCGCGTTGGTCGCGCCGGGTTCGGCATGTGGCAAGGCTGGGGTGCGTGCGTGCGTGCCCAAGCGTAGGTGTGTGTGTGTTTGTGCGTGAGCTAGCGCGTGTGTGCGCGGGGCCACGCGGGGCTGTTAGCGAGGGTCCAGGGGAGTGGACAGCGTCGGGCGCGCGGAGAGGCCGCGGCGTGCGTGCACGATACGCGGCCGCGAGCCGAAGCGCGCAGGACGTGGTGAGTGGGCGGGAGTGCGTGTGGGCGAGGCCTGGCATGTGAGTGCTCGCGGGTATAAATCTCCCTCACCTTTGTGTAGCTCGTTGACAGGTTGAGTTCGTGCTCGAGGGAAAGAAAAGGGCGTACGTGCGCCGGAAAAATCCCTGTGTCCGCTGCCTCCTCTGATCTTCTTCTTCCTTCTCCTTCTGTCGTTTGAGCGCAAAGAGAGAGCGAGGTAGAGCTAGGGCTAGGGTTTAGGAGAAGCTGCAACAACAATTGGCATCAGAGCTTCAGGTTCAGGAGCTCGCCGGCGGCAATGGCGATCGTGCCACACGACGGCGGCGGCGCGGGCGGGTCGGTGTCGATGGCGATGCCGATGCTCATGCCTTATAACTATACGGTGTGGGCGATCAAGGCACAGACGATCCTCGACGCCCACACCCTGTGGGAGGCGGTGGCGCCGGGCGACGCGGCGGCGAACGCGAAGAAGTGCAAGGTGGCATGCGCGATGATCCTCGGTGGGCTGTCGAAGGATGTGCTGCTGCAGGTGGCGGCGAAGCCCACCGCCATGGAGGTATGGACTACCTGAAGGTGAGATTTGTCGGCGCCGATTGGGTGCGCGCGGCGAGGCGGGCGACGCTGCGCGGGGAGCTCAATCGCCTAAAGATGCCGGACGGCGAGGTGCTGGACGCGTACGCCGGGAGGTTGGCGGGGATGACCGCGATATTCGCGAACCTCGGGGAGACGCTGAGCGACGCGGAGCTCGTGAAGAAGCTCCTGGACACGTTGCCCGATCAGTTGTTCCCCGTCGTCACCGGGATCGAGCAGTTTTGCGTCGTCGAGGAGATGGCCTTCGACGAGGCGCTCCGGCGGCTGCGCGCATTCGATGAGCGGGTTTGGCGCCGAGGACAAGACAGCAGCGAGAGTGGCGGTGATCAGCTGCTGCTGACCATGGGGCAGCAGCGAGCGTGCGACGACGATGACGGACGGAGCATGGCATCGGTTAAAAAGGAGATGCCCTATCCACCCTGTGCTTCCTGTTCTTGAGGTTGAGCTTAGCGTTGTGTTGTATTCTTTGCTCTGTTCTTTCCACACCGAGTGTGGTGTTGCTCCTCTCTCCTTTGCAGGGGCGGAGCCGGAGCTACCATGATGCACCACTTAACTATGGGGTAAAATTCTCAGGCAATGATGTATTGAATAAAGGTGTGTTCCAGAAATTGTGAGACGGATTATCGCACATAATAGAAGCTGGTGTATAAAAATGCAATAGTCAAAATGCTTAATATAATGATAGAACAAAGGACACAATTACTTGAAAAGGATGTCTTGCATTTCCAAATTCCAAAACACACATTAGACATCAAGGTTCAGTAACCTGCAAGTTATGAAATATAATTAAATTTTCAAGTAGAACATAATAAAATGCTCATATCAAAGCACTTAGATTGCTAAATATTTAGAAGTTACCTTTAGTATATCCTCTTCCTCTCAGTCAACCACTTGATCATTGGTGAGCTTTTCTTTTTTATCTTTTTTCACATAACAAATAACATTGCCACTCAAGTTATAATTATTGAGGAGATTATGCAAGCAAGTTTTGACCAGTTTCATAGACGAAAAGCACCTGTCAATTGTAACAGTAGTAATATGCTACACAATTACTAGTTTCAACAACTCCCTGCAAAAAAGAAATACTAGTTTCAGCAACTTATAAAACAAAGGATGCATAGTAATAGCCAATAAACTAACAAAGTTTACATAATTATTCGAAGTTAAAACAATAACTAATGCCCTAAGTTTTGCCAAAACACATATATTTAAACATATTAAGATAAGATTTAGTCTACTAGCTACAAGTGCACATATACAATTGTTGCAACTTGTAAAAATATTTAGGAAAAACAACATAAAAATGGATTATGGAAAGAATTTGAATCAAGTGGCGACTGTAAAGACATATTGCTATTTTCCTAGAGAAAGAGGGGAAGATGAAATTATGGTGTGTAGTGGTAGTGTGGGAGGCGTAGGCATGGCCGATGTACCGTCCGCTCTGGTGTCGTCGATTGGCGGCCTATCGACTGCCACTGCCCTGCATTACGAGTGAGTTGGCCACCAAACCGAACAACAGATCGGTTCGATGGATCGATTGCCGCCGCTGCGCTGTGCTCACGACAGAACAGGAGATGAGGAGACGGTATCGACTCGCTTTTTTTTTAAGACGTATCCCTCGGAGGAGAAGCGAGAGGATCAATGGGGACTACATTGCACCCTGCAAATTTTAATAAGTTTCTTACGGATGTGAAACAAAAAACAGAAGGAACTTTGACAAATGTTTTGTATGCTTGAAAATTTTCAACACGAAATGACATTCTTGGAAATTGTGGCAAATAAACATAATCGATGTTCCAAAAATGTTAGTTTTGAAAACATTTTGGAGTACTTACTTTTTTTTGCCACGCCTTTCACGAATATCATTTTGTGTTAAAATTTTGCAAGCATAGAAAACATTTTTCAAAGTTTAACCCTTTTTTTTGAAATTTTTGGGTTCTTTTACTAATACTTTGATTTTACTGTTCATAAGGGAGCATTTGAGCTCGGGAATACAATAGTACTTTCAGAGGAACGATCCATATATCTTTTTTTAGGTGTAAGGTTTGTTCAGAATTTCGTAATTGGGCCGAGCGCGCTCCAGCTCAACGAAGCCAACCCACTTATTATTATTGCCCATGCAGTCGGGAAGACCTTATTTGGTGCATGGAGCGATAAATAGTTGTAGCTTCCAACAGGACGCGTAAGACTGGGCCGGCCCGTCTCTGCTTTTTTGTTGTTCTATTTTTATTTTTATTTTGCTTCTTTATTTTTATTTTTTCTGCAAAGTAAAAATGTACAAAAAAAACATAATTTCAATTTTTGTTCAAATATTCAAAAAGTGGTCAGAATTCAAAAAAAATTGTTCCTGTTTTGGAAAATGATCAAAACTTTAAAAAAAAATCCGTTTCCAAATTTTCTCTTTGTGTTTTCCAAAAAATCTTTGGGACTTTTTTTATAATATTACGTTTTATATGTTCCATATTTCAAAATATTCTTGTTTTAGTGGAGTGTTCAAACTCCAAAATAATATTTGCATATAAGAAAACTTTTTCTAAAATTGTTTTGAATGTTCACCTTTTGAAAAATAAAAAATAATTTTTTTTGTGTTTTTATAAAATTTGTATGTTTTCAAAACATCGTTTGTGAATTTCAAAAACTATTAGTGTTTCCAATTTCGTTCGTGCTTTTCCAAAAATATAGGAATTTGCAAAAAACATATTGTTCACATTTTTTTAAAATTGTACGGGATTTAAAAAATTGCTCACGTTTCCAAGAATATTCGCCAATTCATTTTTTTAATGCTATATAAATGTGAAAAATCTAATCTGACACTATAATATTTCCGTAAATATTCACGCTGGCCATTGGTTAGCGGTGCGCGTTCGTTCTATGTTGGTTGACTATAAATGAAAGAAATTGTGGGCACATGTCAATAAAAATGAATATGTTGTTTGGCTTTCATTATAGCAATATTATGGGCACTTGAACACTAAAATAATCAAAGAGAATAAACCCTTGAAAAGAAGGGACATTCATGCCTGATTATGCTAATGAAACGAGATTTATGCGCAGCAATTAATAATCCACCCGGTTACACCGTCATAGGATAGAGTGGTCGAAGCAACCGTGTCCCAAAGGTCGCCACACAACCACCAAATGAGGAAGCAGACACAACCCCAAGATGGAGGCAGACCTGGAGGAAAAAAGGCATGAGTTGGATGCTCGCCACCACGCTGATCAACCCCACCACTATCAACATTTCTCATGTCAAACATGTCCAGCGAGAAGACCATAACTCCTTGCTCTATCATCTACCATTATGGAGACCCTTTTTTTGGATGACACGTCAATTATCTTTCCCGTTGCTTCTCGCAAAAAAAAATACCTCTCCCGTTGCAACGCACGGGCATATGTGCTAGTATCTATCAATCGCGCGTGATGTTGGATTGTCAACGAGCGTACGTTTTTTTGTTACGGGTATCAGCGAGCGTACATGATTATGGGCTGTTAAGCCATGGAGCGTGCGGGTTGGCTAGATGGGCCATGTAGCACTTCTGTTGGCCCACCCTGTTGCCTCGGGCCTTATTGCTAATAATTAGCACAAAAAGTTGTTTTGGACCCTGTAGCCTGTGCCACAGGGTTAGCCCATTGGGCTCTGCCCCTGCTCCTTTGTCTATATGCCTCTAAATAAATATGATAAAGCCGTAAAATAAGCAATTGTAATCCTAATTATTGAATTATATCAGATGCAATTATTGTGACGCAAGTCTGGCTCAAATGATGCAAGTAGACAGCAAAACAACCTAGAAACAGTACAGTGGATGGATACAAGTAACCAAACACGTTGCTATTAGGTCGGACTGTTTCACCAATCCAATCAAAGGAAAATTTTGCATTTCTAATTTTGTACGTAGAACTGCTCAAAGTCAGCTGCCATGTAGCCTCTTGGCGTTTAGTAAAGCTTTCGGTATGGGAGGACATGCCAACAAGTGAGCAATCAATAACGTGTTTTTGTGTACTAGGCATGTGAGGCAGAAGAACTGGAAGGGTTTTCATATATGGAG